GAAGCAGAAGCCAAACACTGCTCACTTGGATATGTTCAAAGGTGCTGACATCAATATTGAATCATCCGCTCACTCATCCAGGAAGAAGGGGAGCTCAGTGACTGTTGTACTAGGATTGTGTTCAACTCCATCACTCCATTATAAAAATAGCAAGCTGCCATAATCAAATAGAAGGCTCCTCTACCCAGCACAAGTTGGCTTCAGTTCTTCACCTGCGAGTCTACAAATGCCATACCATATCCAAAAAATACAAGGGAGCAAAGAAACCGTCTGATGGATGAGCTGGACCACTGTGATGTCGGGGTGAGCTATTCCTGTGTGGTGCTATCTTCCTCTATTTCTGGTGTTCCATGCAACCATAACGCCTTTTAGGACTAAAGTAAGGCACTCCGGGAACGTGTGCACCATTCGTATATAAACTCTGACCGAAGATGCAACAGCCGTGAGCCATGAGTCGCGCGCAAGTTACAGAGCAGGGGCAAGCTTGCAAAGCTTCGTTTCACGGCGCAGCAGCGTGTGTCCGCGTACACTGCTCCTATGTCCCCTGTGCATCTCCAAGCTCTGGACAGGATAATGTCATCGACCATTTTACCCTTTGGCCATTGGCAGTATCTGATGTCATTTCCCTGCCCCCCCCCCCAATCCCCTACAATAAACCACAGCTTTTAAGAGTTGGTTTCTTCAGTTTGGATCGCCTGAGATGTGATTGGTCCAGTTCTAATAGGTTTGGTGGCTACGGTAGGTGCCAGAGGTGGCTTTTCTTCTACTTTTTCCTGACAGACGCCAGGAGGGTCAGTAAGTGTTTCCCGAGGTTTACTGGAATCACTGTCCGCTTTCTGGGCTTTGCCTCCTATCTGTTTGCTCTGTTGCTGTTCAGAGGAGAACCGTAGTGTGGACTGAAGAGCCTCTGCTAATCGCTTTGCCTGGGGTGCAAACTGTGGGGAAAGGCTGCGTCATTCTCACCGTGGCAGGAGCTGCCGGAAACTGCTTCTGATAGACGATGCTGTTCATTTTGCTGGACTGGCTGTTCCGACTTGTGAAAGTAGCTGGGAAGGGACTAGATGTTGGTGTGGTGCTTCTACCACCGATAGGAGGTGTGCCTGGTTTTATATTAACGCCACTTCTAAAGGCTTTTAGTTCCATTTCAGACATTTTTCCTGTGTTTGCGATCATGCTATGCTGCGTCCTTGCGGGGATTAATCCTCTGAAAGCCTGGCCTACTTGGGCAGGATGGCTCAGACTCAGCCTGTATTCGTGGGGTGGTATGCTGTAATGGGGGCTGAAGAGTCTGAGGAAAAGCAATTAAAGGCTGTCCTGTAGATCCAAAATTTGGCCAAGCAAGCTGGGATGCTGGCAAAGGTACTGTACCCTGCTGGAGAGCACTTGGTGACTGGGCGGTGTTATAAAAATTTGTCTGACCAGGTTGTCGTACTCGTCCGGAATAAAGATTTGAAGCCTGGAGAAGATTTGCTCCAGCCTGGAGAAGATGTGTATCAATCAGCTGGGGACCACCGAGCCTGATGCTGACCCAGCTGACGGTCATCTAATACAGGAATAGGCTGAGTATTTGAAGTGTGCTAAAAGGCAAGACCGATTGTGCTTTACAAGTTTATTTGTTTATTTTTTTAAGAGAGAGATTTTTGCTAAAGGGCATGTGTGCTCACAGGAGCAAGAGAGACAGAAAGTGAGAAATCAGCCCCTACCCTCAGGGAGGATAGTCACATCGCAGTCTCTTCTCCTTCATTCTCCTCTTGAGATCTTCCGTGCATGCGCCTGGCATGAGTTTCAAACCTCCAAGTCTGGGACTTGAACCATGGTCGACCATGTGGGAGTCTAGCACCTTAACCACTAAGCCACCTGCTGGCTTCATGACTGCCTTTGAAACTGTCCTGGGGCTTCTCTCTCTTTCTCTCTCTCTCTCTCTCACTCTCTCTCTTTTTTTTAAAAGAATTATTTATTTATTTAATTTTATTTGTTATTATTTTTTAATTTGACCAGAGAGAGACAGAGAGAGAGAAAGGGACAATGAGAAAGCAAGCCACCAGATCTGGAACTTGAACTGCAGCCAGCCATGTGGGAATCAGTGCCTTTAACTGCCATCAACCTGCTGGACCCATCTCTCTCTCTCTTTTAAATAAAGTTTATTTATTCCATGAAATGAGAGAAAGAGACAAGCACTTTAAACAGGGTCTCATGTCCCGATCTCCACCCCAGCCTTCCCACCAGCCGGGATCACTGGCATGTGCACCTAGCATGTACAGGTTGACCTAGGAACCAAATCCACTCTCTTCTATATGGATCCAGCTTCACTTGAATGGTGCCTTCTCACTTTGTCACCAGCCAGCTCCCATGTTTTGATCCTTCCAGTCCACAGTGTGCTCTCCCCTGGAGAGCTCAAGGGTTCTCTCTATTTTCACCGTCCACTCACTAGAAACTTGACCTTAGGCTGCCTGATATCTCTTGTATTGCTCTTCAGCTTATAGTTATGGTTTAACTTTTTCCCATGGGATATTTGGTCTCAGATGCTTGAGGTCAGAGGAGCCCCTGGTACCAGGTTAGACCCTGGACATGCTATAGGCATGGCAGTGATCGGGAGACTCAGGCTTCTCTGTGTCCCTGTGTCCTCACCTACAAAGTAAGATATAGGATAGGAGGCAGGGATGGGCGATATAGAACTCCTCTATTCTAATAGCATGCAAACTAGCAAGGAGAATTAAGGCACTTTTTAAAAGATGATAAAATCCAAAATATTTTTCTTGAATTATTTGGATAGTCCTTTAGACGTGAGTTATCTAATCTCCTCAATCTGTTATGCCATTTTGTGTAAGTAGACTCCCTTTGGCTATGTGGGCAGAGTGAGGTTAACATTACAGGTCTGGACTGAGGCGTCCTAGCAGAATATGTGTCCTTGAATGGTCTGCAGTCCCCATCAGCTGCATATGTCAGTTCCTTTTTGTCACTACTAGTGAAGAATCTTTATTCAGAACATTTTCTGTTCTTATTCTTCAGAAATAACGATTTGTGTCACTGTAATTTTCCCTTATTGTCCCTTGGCATCAAAAGAGAATGCATCCATTCATTCATGTGTCTTGTATTTACTAAAAACCTCTCTGTGTAAGCATGGCCTAGAAGCTTGGAGTACAGAGTCATAAATGCAGTACTTCCCTCAGGGGTTGCTCCTTCCAGTGGAGTGACAAATAGCTCCTTGACACAGGTGGGTTATAACTCAGATGCTACAGAATAGAGGATGACTCAGAGATGGCATCCCAGGGCTGAATGTAGCACGTGATGTGAGCCTTAAAAGATGAGTTAGCAAGCTCTTTGGTGTAGAATTGGGAAAGAATATTCGAGGCAAAGGGATAGTTTGTTCCAGGAACGAGCCTGGAGCATACTGAGAAAGGCAGACGGTTCTGTTGGTGTAGACTTGTCAGGTGGTGTGTGTGTATGTGTGTGTGTGTGTGTGTGTGTCGGTGTCTGTGTGTTGGAGGAAGAGGGTGATAAAGCTGAAGCAGTGGTAAATTACCTGGGCGCCAGGGCAGCAGGTAGTGCGGAGGTTAAGATGACTGGATCCCGCATGGCCGACTGTGCAGCTCGAGTCCTGGACTGGTGGCTGGAAAATCACACTGGGCATGTGTGTGCTTGCCAAAAATCCTGAGAAACAAATAGAGAAGGGATTGCAGCATGGCCATCTCCCCACCACCACCACCACCCTAAGGGGTGATCTCTCACTTTCCTTCTCTCTCTCTCTCTGTCTGTGCCTCTCTCTGGTGAGTGGATGTGTCTTACTGCAAAATTTAAAATAAATACATGAAATGCATCGGGATGCCATGTGTCATTTTTGCTTTGTCCTGTGGACAATGGGTAATCAGCTGAGATTTTTTAACTGTGGAGATGAAATGTTTAGGGCTAGTTTGATTAAGATTTCCTGATGGGAAGAAAGAATTCAAAGGATGTTATTCCAGGGGCCAAGCAACCTGAGTCTGACCTGGACGCTTGTTTCAAGTCTAGGCCAGAACCATAAAGGCCTGGATGGAGGTAGTGTGAGGCTTTAGAGGAAAGGAGGACAGAGAATTGATAGAACAGCTGAAAGGCAGGGAGACAGGCAGGTAAGGCCATTTCATTTGTTTATTCAAGAAGGTCTCATCGTGTCATGATCCCTCTGCCTCAGCCTCCCCTGGAGCTGAGACTTCAGGCACATGCCATTGTGTGCATTTCCTCGGGTGGACCAGGAATCAAACTCAGGCCTCTCACGTGGCCCCAGCTTTTTAGCAGTAGGAGTGGCAGCCTGTACATGCTACTGCTGCTGGCCTGGAAGGAGAATTTTTCTTTTTAAGTTTATTCATCTATCTCCTTCAGGAGACAGAGACACAGGCGCTTCCAACAGGGTCTCTGTGTCACAGTCTACCCGTAGTCTTAGCCAGTTTGGATCATTGGCCCCCGAGTGCCTGGCGAGGCCAGGCAGGACTTGAGATGGAAACCCAGACAGGACCCCTCCTACGTGGGTCCAGCCTCACCACTTCCGTGCCTCTACCTGGCTCCCGAAGGAGAATTTCAAGGCAGCTCTTGGCTGGTGGCCCACTTACTAACATAAGGAATAGTAGGAAAAAGGGTTTTCTGTGTTTTGAAATATGCATAGAGAGGGTAAACTTACGTTTGCACCGATAAAGAATAATGTTACTCATAATTAGTCACTTTTGTACCACAGCCCACAATGAAGCCCCTTTCTTTGAAAATCACCTAGTGCCAACTGCATGGCCTTGGTAAAGTGCCATCATTAAAGAGCTGTGGTTATTCAGATCTCTTTCCTCCTCCACATACTTTGCCTTGTCCCCCAGCTGATTCCCGCTACATAAACCCCTCCCTACCACAAGACACCAATCAGAGTTCAGACTGAGGGCAAGCACGGAGCAGTTCTGGGATCTGGTGCAAGTATGATTCTATAAAAAGACATTTAGAAAACAAGGAGCAATGTTGCCATTTTGCCTTTAATGGAAAAGAGGCTAGCAGTTACAGTAAAAAAAAAAAAAAAAATTGAAAAAGAAAAGTATTCAACTTCTAGATCATCATTTGAAATTTCCGAAATACACATACACTTGAAAACCAATAAAGTCTATATAAAAATAAACTCTGAGTGTGTGATTAAAAAGGGAAAAGTCCAGTCTTTTTAGCTGCACAAATGCATAATAAAAAGAAGACTCTGTCTGAGGAGGTTCACGCCAGGGTGGAGGGGGCTTTGACTTTGGAAGACAGAGCCTGCTTGAAGCGCCTCTTCAGGTCCTGCATGTTGGGAGAGCGTGGCCGGGGGATGATGGAGGCTCTTCTCCTTTCCCCGCTGAGGCTGTGGAGCTTGCTCACTTCTTTGCAGAGATGCTGAAACACATCACAGACATCTTCATAGTTCTCACTAGTGGAGATTTCAAGGAACACGCTGCCCAGCTCGTTGGCTAGCTGAACGCCGTCATGTGTTTGCACCTGCCGGGCATGCAAAAGGTCCCCCTTGTTGCCCACGATGATGACAGGGGCTTTAGAGTCAGGATGGACCTTCCGGATGTGTTGGTAAAGGGGCCGGATAGACAGGTAGCTGTCGTAGTCTGTGATGGAATAGACCAGCAGAAAGCCCTCAGCCCACTGCACGCATTTAGACAGGGAATCCACCACCTGGGTGAGGTTGTCTTGGACCTGCGGAAGACCAGGAGAACCAGTAAAGGAAGGCTCATTGAGAGAGCAGTCACGTTAACATCAAAGAAGTCCTTCCAGGAATGTTTGAAAAAGACATCAGGAAGTGTAGCTTTTGGGTTTGACCCAGCTTCTGCAGGAGGCTTTTGATACGGAAAGTGCAAATTCTCAGGCCAACTCCTTGCATGGGTTATTTTATTAGCAGCCAACAATGCTGTAATAAACTAATTTTTAAAGAATTATTTTATTTAACTTTATTTATTTATTTAAATTTTATCAGAAAGGGGCAGAGAGAGAGAGAGTGATAAAGGGAGAGAAAGAGGGAAAGTGAGAGAACAAACTCCCAGGTCCAGGACTCAAACCATAGTCGGCCATGTGGGAGCCCAGCGCCCTTAACCACCACGCCACCTGCTGGCCCCCAAAGTAAAACTTTTAAAACTAAAAAATACATTTTAAAAAATGTATTCCTTTTAAACTCTTTGCTGGTCAGAGAATCTCTGGTAAGTCTTGGCTAACTGAAGAATGACTTCAAACTAGAATGGCTTGATTTTTAGAGGACTTACTCATAATAAACAAAACTTTGAAAATAAGCCAAGATAAATATCTATTCCCAAACCCATAAGAAATATTTTTAGCACACATTTCTTGAGAATGTTACAGAAACAAATTCCTTTGTTTTGGTTCCTCCACAAGACCTTTCCTCCCTTAAAGCTTTAGCAATTAGTAACTTGTTCATCAAATTACATTCCAGACAGCTGGCTTCATGGGGTTATCCAGTGCAATTACTGATTTGAGGGAACAGCCAATAACAGAAGCACTTGAATGCTCCTTGGTGAAGGAAAACACCTCTCCCACCAGAATCCCACTGGCTTGTTTAATAGTTCCATGGCCAAGTTCTGAAAAAACGGGTAAGACCCATGTGAGTAGGGATAGCCTGCCAGGACTGAAGAAAGAAAAGTGGCCGGCAAAAGTTGCCTCTCACCACACCCCTTCTGAGGGTCTCTAGCTTCCCAACGTTCGGCCTGCCTGCTGACAGCCCATTCCGTGTAGAAATGCAGAACAGGCCAGTTTAGCCTTCTTGTACAGGTGGGGAACATCGTGCTGGGCACCCTTACCACTTCCCTGGGTTCTGGGAGGATTGAGCTGTTTGCTCCAGCAGGTCCTTACCTGGACGCCCCCAGGAGTGTCTTGGATCTGCAGGGATAGCTGGTCCCCCTCTACATAGACGAGACGTGAATACAGCTTGCCTGGAGAATGACAGGATTTGCTTTTAAATTCTGACACCCTGATCAAGAAAAGGAAGGAAGGAAGGAAGGAAGGAAGGAAGGAAGGAAGGAAGGAAGGAAGGAAGGAAGGAAGGAAGAAGAAAAAAAGGAAGAAAGAGAAAGAAAAAAAGGAAGAAAGGGAGGGAGGAAGGGAGGGAGGAAAAGAAAGAAAGAGAGAGAGAGAGAGAGAAAGAAAGAAAGAGAGAGAGAGAGAGAGAGAGAGAGAAAGAAAGAAAGAAAGAAAGAAAGAAAGAAAGAAAGAAAGAAAGAAAGAAAGAAAGAAAGAAAGTCTTGCAAGCACAAAAGGAGGAAGCATGTAATTACTCTAACCTGTATTCGGTTCATAGTCGCCGATGAACCTCTTAGTGAGGAAACGCACGATCATTGCTGAAAAGGAAACAGAAAAATCCATTGAAGTAGCAAAACAGAAGGGTCTAACTAAGGCGCTGGGGAAGGTCTCCCTGATCGACGCGCTCTGTTGGAGACCTGCGGGAACGGGTGGCGAGTCCCGCGGGCGTCCCCGTGCTCTGCAAAGCCGAGGTGCCGCTGTCCGGCTTTCCGAGCGGGTTTTGGGTCGAGTGAGACTAGTGAGACCAACACTCTCTTCTGCAAACGCGGTCTATACTAGGCGCCCACCTTGGCGAGGGCCGGAGAATAGTTTGCGGGGAACAGAGAGGGTCGAACCTCGGAGCCCGCAAAAGGCCAGGTTCCTCCTGTCCCCTGCCCTGCCTCCGCCGACGCTCGCGCTCTCTGCGGGGTCCCAGCTGTCGCGGCCGGGCGCGGGGTGGGAAGCGGCCGCGAGGGTCTCCAGCGCACTCACCGCTCTTGCCCACGCGGCCGGCACCTAGCACAGCCAGTTTGATGTCCTTGGGCAGGAGGTAGTCCGAGGAGGACTCGGGGATAGGAGCAAGCAGAAAGTGCCCGGACATGCTGGGCGACCGCATGGAGCGCGTCCCGCGACCAAGGGAACAAAACCAGCGGTCGGAGGCTCGCCCAGACCCGGAGCCGGCTGCCAGCAGGGAGTGCGGGACACCGGACCGGGACCGCGGCGGCTGCCAGCGGAGCTGTCAAGGCGCAGGGTTTTTAAACGTCTCCGCGCGCGGGTGAAAGCTGCGGCCGCCTCCAGCTCCTCCCCTTCTCCGACCCTTGCGGGATCGGCGCTGGGAGGGAGGCGCGAGCAGGGAGAACCGAGCGGACTGTCGCCCGCGGCGTGCGCGCAGTCTCGCAGACTGACGCGCTCTGCGGGAGACTCTGGGCTCTGGGACACTGGAAAGGACAGCCACCAACCAAAGAGCTCCCGGAGAGCTCGGGCCACAACGACCTGTGGGTGAACTCGAGACCGGAGTTAGGGGTTGCCCGAGGGAGGAAGGAAAGGAAAAAGAGCGATCTGGAGTTGTTGCAGCAATGGGAGTGCTAGATTCCTGTTGAATGTTGCCCCTTTTTATTTGCAGAAGGTGCTGAGGGATGACAATAACATGGACAAAGAGGGAGCGAGCGTCCTGAAATGGTATCCGTCGAGGTAACTGCAGCCACTGTGACTTTGCTCAGGATTAACTAGAGGGGTTCGTGGAAAATGCGTGTTATGAACAAACTAAACTTGGGGTTTCAAACATTTTTGCACCAAAATGAACCCATACTCTAATTCTATTTTCCAGGATCTTGTTGAAGCCCTTTGGTATAAAGTCTCCTGGGGGCAGTCATTGTCGCTTAGCATCTCAAAGCAGCCCCCTCGCTGTTGGCCCGGAGTTGACTCATTCCAGATCACTCATTGCGCATTCCATTGGCTGAAGCTGTGACTCCAAATTAACGCTCCATCATTAATCTTGTCCTACACAGGGAGCCATTGCTTCATTATTTGAGTATTTCTGTCTCAGTGGCATTCAGGGTGGAGCTGTGGAGGAAGGCACACACACAAAAAAACCTAGCCCAGTTCTCCGATTTCAAGAGCCCACCACTGCAAGGCAGAAGCCATGGGGCTTTACACCTGCACAGAGACTTGCATGTTCTGGCCTCCTGTGTTCCAGCTTCATCGGTCCAATTGCCTACAAGATTTCCAAAAGTTCATGGAAATAAAGTACAAGTTTAGGGGCTGGATCATGGCAGAGAGGTAAAATACTTATGCCTCTACAAGGCAGAGGCAGACCCATATGGGAAGGATCCAGGTTTCAGTCCAAAGATCCCCTGAGTATGCCCGTGCAAGTGCTTATGATTCAGGGCTAGTTGAAGCTGGAGGTGGATCCTGGTGTCAAATCCTGCTAGGGTGCTGTATCTTTGTCTTTCAAAAGCTCATGGAGGGACCAGCAGTTAGCGTAATGGCTATGTCGCTGGACTCGCTGGACTCCCACATAGTTGACCGTGGTTCACGTCCTGGATCTGGTGGCTTAAACTCACGTGTGCTCGCATGCCCAAGATCCCAAGAAGATAATGGAGAAGGGATTGCGGCGTGGTCATCCCCCCTGGAGGGTGGTTTCAAAAAAAAAAAAAAAAAAGGCTCATGGAAAAAAAATGAACTTTTTTCTTTTTTAAGAGAGATTTTTGCTATAGAATGTGTGAGCTCCCTGGAGAGTCAGAGGGAGAGAGACAGAAAGCGAGACTCACCCCCCGAGGGGGGGGTGGCCACACCACAATTCCTCTTCTAGTCTCCTCTCGGGATTTTGGGCACACACACACATGCATCCAGCGTGAGTTTTAAGCCACCAGATCTGGGACTTGAACCACAGTTGACTATGTGGGAATCCAGCAATGTAACTATTATGCCATCTGCTGGGCCCACACACTTTTTTTTGTCGTTTTTTTTTTTTTTTTTTTTAGTTGCCAGACGGTACATGTACTTGCCAAAAAGAGAAAGGGAGAGGAAAACAGCACCTCCTCCCCCAGTGGAGCACGGTCGTGCAGCAATCCCTTCTGCCCCATTTCTCTATCTCAGGATTTGGGGACACGTACCCACACACATATGTCTTTCAAGCCTCTGGGGCTAGGATTTGAATCTGACATGTGGAATCTGGTTCCCTTTACCACTAGGCCAAGAGGCCAGCCATTAAAAAAAGAAAAAAGAAGAAACAAGAAGTCTTTTAAAAAGGTGTAAGTTGGGGCCAGCAGTTGGCGTAATGGCTATGTTGCTGGATTCCCATGTATTGGACCACGGTTTGAGTCCCGGACCCGGTGGCTTAAACTCACACCAGGCACGTGTGCGTGCGTGCCCAAGATCCCGAGAGAATGCAGGAGAAGGGATTTCAGCGTGGCCATTCCCCCTGGAGAGTGATTTCTCACTTTCTGTTTCTCTGTCTCTCTTTCTGGCGAGAGCATGCGCTCTATAGCAAAAAACTCTCAGAAAAAAAAAAAAAAGAAAGAAAGAAAAATGGTGTTTAAGTTTGGGACCAGCAGGTGGTGTGGTGGTTAAGGAACTGGACTTCCGCATGGCTGACTAAAGTTCGAGTTCTGGACTGGAGGCTTGAAAATCAGACCAGGTACGTGTGTATGTGTGCCCAAAATTCCAAGAGGAGAATGGAGAAGGGATTGTGACATAGCCATCCCCCAGAAAATTATTTCTCACCTCCCCTCTCTCTCGTGAGTATATGCACCTTACAGCAAAAACCTAAAAAAAATTTTAATAAATTAGTGCAAAAATTTTTGAGTGTCATGCATAATTTTTGCTATAATATGCTCTACGAACTTCTTGTCATATTAGGAAGCCCTATCCTTATTCACTCTTTTGTCTATCCTAGTTGTATTGGTTAGCTTTTGCTGCCTGACGAACCATACTCAAAATGTATTGGCTTAGAACAACAATCACTTACAGTTGCCTCCAAGTCAGTGGGGCAGTTATCCTAATCCAGACCCGGTTCTAGTGACTTTGGCTACCCTCTCCAGTGCATCTGCAAAGAGCTTCCAGGTTGGACAGCAGTGGCTGTCAACTGTCATTACTTGGTGGAATTTTTGTATGTCTGTCTCAATGAAGGCAGGAACTCTAGCTTATGTCTCTAGTACCCAGCACATGGTAGTGCCTGGAACTAGAAAGATCTTTAATAAATGTTTGTAGGGCTTGCCCCATGGCCTAGCATTAAGAAAGCTGGATCCCACAAGGCCAATCAGTTCAAATTTTGGCCCTGATGGCTTGAAAAACATGCCATGTGTGAGTGTGCCCAAAATGCCAGAGAGATGAAGGGACTGTAGCATGACCACACCCCCTTGGGTGGTCCTTCTTCCCTCTCCTCTTTCCTGTATCTCTCTGGCGAGCCCACTGACAGATACGTTGAAAGGCTATTTGAGTGAACAAATGGATGGTGTCTTCACTGTATGAACTGTAAAAGGTAGAAGTCATGTTTATGACAATCATCCCAAGGTCTTGTTTTTGAGAGCAACCGTTCTCGGGAAAGTATCCCAGGAAATGTACTGACACGATCTGCTGTATTTCAGTTGTATGACTGCTGGCTGTTCACAGGGACCAGCTTTCCATTAAATCTTGGTTTAACTAGAGACACTTGAAAAGGGAAAAGGCACTATAGAGACCATGATCCTTTAGATAACTGTGAAACTGTCTGGTTCCAGGGATCCAGGGTTGTTGAGCGCCCCATGATGGGGTCTAGGCTGTCATCTCTCAGATTCCCTTGGCTTCTTCCTTGGATATGAGATGGCTCCAGCAGCAGCAAGTCCTCACCTAAATGGAGACTCTCAGGACTAGCAGTTAGCGTAATGGCTATGTGGCTGGACTCCCACGTAGTCGACCACGGTTCGAGTCCTGGACCTGGTAGCTTAAAACTCACGCCGGGCATGTGTGCGTGCGTGCCCAAGATCCTGAGAGGAGAATGGAGAAGGGATTGTGGCGTGTCCATTCCCCCTGGGGGTGATTTCTCGCTGTCTCTCTGGCATGCACACGTGCCCTATAGCAAAAATCTCTAAAAAAAATAGAAACTCTCTTGCTTTGTCTCATCATGAAATAAAATACTCATGAGAATTCAACAGACCTTTTCTTTTATCTCATTGGCCTCAGAGGCTGGGAAAGAAATTATCCAATTAGCTAGCAAGGATTAGGATTGCCAATGACTAGTTTAGACGATCTTAGTTCTTCCCTTGGCAGCTGGGCAAATTGGTATTCCCATTCAAAATAGATCATTTTAGTTTAAATTCACCCCATAAGGAAGATTCCTAAGGCTCTTCTCTGCAGACAGTTATGTTCCACTTTGCATTTACCTTGCACTTTTACAAAGAAGAGCTCAAAATGTTATTCCGTTCTCCTTGGTAAGGCTCTCTGCATTTACAAATACAGAAGATAATCTGTGACCTTTCAGTGAAGACAATAAGCTACTGAACCAGAGAATTATAAATACCCTTGCCTAAATTGTTGTAGCTTGTGTTATTTCATTTTAGAGTTCTTTGTGCCCAGTTATGCAAAATTGTGGTGCAACCAATATAAATAACACAGGCTGCTCAAGCGTTTTAAAAAAGATAATAGAAGTGAGTAGGCAGACACAGATATACAAATCTGTGGGTGTTTAGAATGAGTGTAAAGGGCAGAGTTTGATAATATGCAAATACCAGACTTAGGAAGCTATTAACTCTTTACCAGCTTGAATTCTAGCCCTCACACAAAACTTTGCCAAGTTTTCCTTCAGTTCACACACACTATCACATCCCTAACCCAATATCGACTTCCCGTAATATATATCCAAAGTCCCCACCTATTTTTACTGGAGCCTAAGACTCGACCCAGAATAAGAATCAGGCTTCTGCCCTTGAAAAGCTCACTACTTTATTTCAATCCAATAGTTATTGAAAAATCTCCCTGCAAGACTGTTATAAGTGGTGGTACAGAACACAAAGAACAGCCAGCTTTCTGTTATCAACTATTTACTGACAGGACAACAAAGTATGACACCCCTGTCTACACAAACATCCTTGTAGTAGAGAAATGATAATTTATTAATTACTGTCTAGTATACAAAATATTCTCAAATATAATCTTTAAAAATAAAAAAAATGTCAGCACATGCACTCACTGGAAAGAGGGGAAAACGAGAAAGCATTCTGCAGGGGGAATGGTCACACCACAATCCCTTCCCTTACAGTTCTCCCTCCTTTGGGCGTCTGGATACACGTGCACATGCCTGGTACATTTTTCAAGATGTCAAGTCT